CCCATCGAGTCCCCAGAGAGCGAGGGAGAAGGCGAGTGAGCAACCCCGGGATGGCAGCGTGGTAGATGAGTGCCTTTTTCTTGTACCAAAGGTGTGTGGCCATTTCTTTGCTCCTCTGCTTTGATCCTAAAGACTCACTATTACCTCAGCTCTCCAAAGGGACGGATTCTGGCAACTCTTGTAGTCTTTGGGTGTTGGGGTGAAGGAAAGAAACCCAACCCTTGTCCTAATTGAAGAGAAAACATCCCCCTCGCCGCCCGCTGCGGGAAAGGTGCTGGTTCCCCGGCGTGTCCCCCCCCTCTCAGATGTCCCTGCGTCCCCCAACCTGGCGTGGTCCCCAGGGTCCCTCCATCCAGCCCCTCTTGCCCCGGGAGCACTGACCTGGTGTCTGGGTCCCGTCTCGCGGGGCGTCGCTCCCAGGGGAAGGCTTTGCTCCACGTCCTTCGCCAACCCAGCTCAGCACTGGGACCCTGCAGAAGCCCACGAGAAGAAGACGTGGGTTTCATCACAGGGTGTTTCTTCCTTGCTCAGCTCAGACTTGGGCTTCGGTTTCCCTTTTTGGTAGCGCAGGGAGGGTTCGTGGCATGTCTGTCTGGAAAGACGAAGGCAGGAGCGGTGGAAAGCCTCACCCCGGGCTTTCTCCAGACCCCTCCTTTAGGGAACGGTTTGGAGCTGTGAAACCTTTCAGCAGGAAACCTTTCACCATTTCCAAGTCCCCAAAGGGACATTTTGGCTTGTTGGGGGAGACGGGTGCAGCCGGGTCTGCTCCGCTCCACCGCTCGGCTTTAGCAAAAGGCAACGGGAGGACCCGCTGGAGAAGATGCTCTTCCGCAGCAACCTCCAGAACGTCTAGTTTAGGGCGATCTTGGGTTGAATTGTCCCTACTTGGTTCAGGCTCCGGCCGAGGCGGCTTCTTTTGAGTTGGACCAAACTTGCCCAGGGCCAACACCCCTGGCGACAGCAAGGCTGGCCGAGACCCCCGCAGGGTCCTCCATCCCGCTGGGCAACCTGACAGAGCAGGGCAGAGCATCCCCGACCCCGGCGCCTCCCCGCCCCCCCGTTCCCCCTCCACACTATTGCCTTGGCCAGATCTTGCCCGACCCCACGGCCGCGCCACCCCGCTTCTACCTGATACCCACATGGCTTGTGATACCAAAGACGTTCTCTATGCAGGAGAAAGCCTTCTTTTCCGCCCAGCACAGACCTTACAAGCCTTTGACAATGTTCTCTGAAATACCTCAAAATATTTAATGTATAGTTTATGTGATAAAAAAAAAAAAAATTACTTAGCTAGTTTTTGGAATTTGTGACTTGAAGCTTTATACTGTTAAATTATAATTTTGCAGAAGACGGCATGTTCTTATTTCTTTGACGCGTTCAATGGGAGACATATTGAATGTTAAGGAAATGAAAGCTGGATAGTTTCACGATTAAAAAAAAAGAGAGAGAAAGAGAGAGAGAAAGAGAGAGAGAAAGATTAAAAAAAGGACCCTTGGAGTTTACAGATTTCATATTTAAACAAGTCCTTTTAAAAAAAAAAAAGAAAAAAAAGAAAAACTAATAATGATGACGATACCTTTGCGTTCAGATGTGTTACTTTTCTCTGAGTCATGTCGTACAAGAGTATTTATTATATGTGTTCTGTGTTCAAATGTAATTTAAAGAAGACAAAACAAAAAGACAAAAAAAAAAGACAAGATGAGAATTTGATTTATGCATGAAAAAATATACTCTTTCTTGAAGTAATGTAATAATTATTCGGGGAGGGGTGGTCGGGTGGGAGCGGGAGGGGACAAACTGTGCTTTTTTTGTCCACGAGTTTTCGGTTGATGAGGACTTCTCTGCATGGATCACGTTTCCAACTCACGCAACCACGGGAGAGTCGTCGTTTATCCCCTCGGTTTATGCCTTCGCCTCTTTTCTTCCTTTCCTCACCCTGAAAATTGCGTGGCAGCGACGTGGGGAGGCAGGGGGCTGCTCAGAGGACCCCCGGGGAGGACAGGGCGCACGGCGTGGCCCCGTGCCCGGAAAACAGGGTAAGGGTATCTGGGGCACGGGACCCTGGCGTGCGCACCCACCCGTCCCACCCGCCGCCGTGGGGTCCA